TCAGCTTAGCTGGGTCCCGACCCCACCAGCAGCAGAGCGCTGCTTCTGGGGGGGGTCGGCCATGAGCTTAGTTGTGCAGGGGGGGTAGCGAGCAGTGTGCGGCCGCTCTAGGAGGAGGCGCGTCCTCTGGCACGGGCGCTACTCTCTCCACTGGAGGAAAAAAAGGGTACGCGCGCGAGAAATGGGTATCAGGCGGTTACGTCGCTGGCTTTGCGCGGGGCTGCAAATAGAAATTTATGTATGTAAAAGAGGGGACGCGAATGTTGGACGGAGGGTGGACGCGTCCAAGAGGGGGGGGGGGCAGGGGGGGACGGCTCGTATTGGTCATAAAAAACGGCGGTTCTGGATTTTGCATCTCGGCTGCATCCAATGGCGTCTGCGGTCTGCACATATGGGGCCTCGGATCACGGTCACGTCGGCGAGGACAGCGACGGCGTCGTTGGTGGAGCGCAGGGGCGAGGGCGTCGACCGACGGGCGGCGCACCAGGAGTCCTCCAGCGCGGTAGGTCACGGAATGTGTATCGCGCGCCTTGCGGAACGACGGGTCGAGCCCCTCCGCCAATCGAGGCGGCAGTCGAGACGGTGAGCGGCTGACGTCCTCGCGGGCGTGGCGGAGTACGGCCGACACTATGTGCTGCGGCAGCCCGCGGAGACGCAGGAGGCGCGGCGGAGCGGCTGCGCTTGGACGCGACGGCGAGGCTGGCCGGGCACGCTGTCGTCGAGACAGGCACGCACGTCGAGATCCTACGCGAGCAGGGTGGTGGTCGGCCACCATCACGTGGCGGGAGGAGGGTTCGGGCGGCCGGCTCGTGTGGATGCGGTCGAGTACGACGGCTACCCGGACGCCGAGCCTCTCCTCTCCTTAGAGGAAGAGACGTGGAGGCAGGTGACGCTCGGCGCCGGCAGCGCGGCCCCTAATACCAGCGGTGAGGCGAGCGACGGCAAGAAGAGCGACGGCGAGGCTGGGGACGCGCTGCCGTCCAGCGCGACCGACGTCGGCGGCGCGGTCGCTGCCGGCGGCGAGGGCAGCGGCGTCGAGAGGGGCGGCGGCAGCAGCCGGGATGGCCAGCGGCGCCACTGGCATGTCGCACGCGGCGGGTAGCCGGGTACGGTTGCAGGTACGGGTAGCTTAAATCTTACCTTATATTTCCCCGCGGCCGGTTTTCCGTTTCGGGCGACGGCACACTCACCGAGCTCTCCGGCGGGGAATCATGTCGGCGAAGGCGGGCTCTGGCGTCTCGGTGATGCGCTCCGATCTCGACGCGTCGACCTCGACGGAGGTGGACGCGCACGAGGCGCAGTGGCGGGCCGGCGTCAACCGCCAAGCACGTCCAGACGCTTCCTCGCAAAGGCTGGCGCACCTCGACGTCATTGAGTTCCAGAAGCGGGGCCTGCCGCACTGCCACATCGCGCAATCCGTCATCGCCCGGGCGGCCGCAGGCGGTGCCATCAACCCACCCTCGGCACCGCTGCACGTTCGTGCTCCCTCTCCCACCCAACTCGGCTCCACCCTCGTCCACCCGCACCCACCCCATCATCTGCTCTCAGGCTGATTGCGGCGTGTGTTGCGCAGTGCCGACCCACCAGACGCTGGCCAGAGCATGACTGTGATGCCTCTGTCTGGGCCGGGGAAGCGTTCGACAGCGCGCAAGGTTGCCTCCCTGCCCTTTGCGACGCTTGCGACCACTGCTGAGTTGCATGCATTACAGAGTAGCAGTGGTGGGGAAGGCTTGCCC